CCAGTTTTTTTAAAACCCGAATTTTTTTCCGTATATGGTGCAGAAGTGAAGATCTAAAATGATTCCATATTAGTTACTGTTTTTTCTGACTTTGTAGATTCTGTCGAGGACTTACAACTTGCTTCTCAATTCCACTGATTATCACTTTTTCATAAACATATCTGAAAAAGAGGAAACAAACTTTTAAAGTTTCCACTATAAAAGACCATTATTTTTGAGGAGTTTTATAAAAGTATGAAAATACGAGTAAATCCACATCCTGGTTGGTTGATTTTAACCTTCCTGCTGAGCGCAGTGTACAGTAAACAACTCTTACTGCTCAAAGTGATAGTAATTTCTTGACAAGAGAAGCAAACGTTTATTGATCCCACCACGAAAAACATGAAACATAAGGAAGTGATAAAATTCTGGAACTGTAAACGAAGTATGCTGTAGTGTTGGTACTGCTGAATATTTGAGCGACGAAAACACATCCTAAAGAGCTTATTTCCTGGTTTCTTCCTTAACCTTTTTGTTTTACGCCACTACATAGAATACTTTCTCTTTTTTCTTTTCCCTAAGATACCGTAAAATTAATGCTTTAATGTATCTGATGACACACTAAGTACATAGTGAATTCCTTTAAAAAAGTGTAAGCTCCATTAAACGTTAATTTTCATCCTGTGGAAGAGAAAACGGAATTGGATCTACTGGAGGCCGTGCACCTTCAATTTTCACAACTTCTACATATCTCGGTTGGTCGAGATTTTTTCGGATCACTTCTAATTCTTCATTGGCTTTGCGGCCCCATTCCGGTGGAGGTCGGGCCGTTCCTCTTGCCAGCGACAAGGGTTTTTCTACGGTAGGCTAAAATTTTGTTTCAATTACATTCAGAAATGTAAAAGAAATGAACACAGAACCTCAAACTTACATTTTCGTAAATTTCTCGTATTTCTTTGAATGGGCGCCGCTCAGCTTGTCTGTCGAATTTTGAGGCAACGCTGATTTTTGGCTGTAAATAGTGATGAAAAATACTTGTGAACGAATAAGATTTGCCAACTTATCCTGGATTGACTACAGCGTACTGGAATAATACGGACCACTGAGATTGAGAAACAAAATTGTTGTCACACAAAAAAGTTGTAAGTTACATTTCTCAATCAAATTCTTTTACACTTTTTGCCAGTGCACTTCATACGACAAAGGAGAAAAATACGGTTAAGAGGCAGGTAACTGAATAGCAGTGGTTTTGAATGGAGTGTCTCATTCAAATTGAGAATCCCGCAAACGACATTTGCGACGATGGCTAGAACCACCAGTGCGGCATTTTTGTACAGTAGCACAAGCAACATTACAAACTACTTCAGTTTTTAACATTTTTAAAAGGCCTCAGAAGGTTGAAAAGAGGTGTATGGGTAATAAGCTGTGATAATCATTTAAACCTTAAGAAATAAAAATGAAAAAAGGAGCAGTTTTGTCTTTTGGAGAATTTACAGACCTAAACAATAGGTAATTGAGAGACACTTTTATATCCTTTGATCAAATAACTGTGGAAAGCATGATTAAGGTGTTGAAATCTGTCGCTAGTAAGAAAATTATAAGGATGTTTCGCGAATATTTCTAGCCGTTTTTTCTATTTTTTTCTTCTGCAAGCAGCTTCCTCTTGAATCCTCCTCTTTGGAATGCTGCTACTTTTTCATCTTTATGCGATTTTACTGCACTAGAGCTGTTTTTGACTTACCGCGAGATCTGAGGTGACGTATCGTATTCATATGAGATTTCTTTTTAACAAGTAGAAGAAGAGATCTTTAGTAATAGAGTGCGCTTTGTGTTACTCACAGAAACGGATGATTTCAGTTGGCAAGAAGAGATTTTGTTACTGAAAATTTGACGGGCTCCGGAGGCGACTAATCCTTCCAAGTTGGCTAAGAAAGTCACTTCAGATAGAGCAGGAAAAAACCCATACTTGAGAACAACGAGTAATATAAAAATTTTAACGTCGACATTCTCTAAAACTTAGTCAGAAAGTTTTGAGAAAAAGATTCATCGCTTTACTTGGTTTTTTACATATATTTCGTTTCTGGACGCTATCAGATAATTAACCAACAGATTGCTTAATTTTTTGGCGATGAGAGAGGGCGCAGTGCAATTTGTAATTTCTATGTAACACGGGTTTTTTCTACTGGATATACCTAAGAATTTTGTTATCTTAGTGCGTTTTCATAGGTTAATTCAAATTATTTTCATTTTTTTGAGGTCGCGTGCCGAACTTGAAAAAATCTAACGCACCGATCTTTTGAAATGATAAGGCAGTTAGGAACAGAGGTTTAGGGAATAAGTTTTTGTTGCGAGAAAGATCTGAGTGAGGCAAAAATGCTTACCGGATATTTTGGATACATTTCGTCGTGAGGGTCTAAACCTTTAGCTATCGCTTTATGTCTTGTTACTTGTTTCTGCCTTTCGCTTAGTTCTTTGAGCTAAACTTGCAAAAACCTCTTTAGTTTGGTATTAACAAAGGGAAGATGTTTAAGAAAATGGTAATTGTTTTGAAAAACTATCATTTATTTTAAGACTTTACTTTAAATATAAATTTTTGCAGAAGTTTAGGTGAAACCGTAAAGACATACATCGTATTGTTGCAGTTCGAGTCTTTTTTCTAAGTCATACTTCTCTGCCTCGCAACGAACTATCTGGTTATGTATGGCCATTATTCTTTCTTTAAGATCAACCATTGATGCACGTGTAGGGTCTTGTTTTCGTTCACGTATTGCTGCCATAAATGCGATTTTAGCTTCAGCTTTCTCTTCAGCGGTCAACTCTTTCTTTTTAATCTTCAAAAGAAATGTTTTATTCCTCACTTCTTGTCCAAAGTGTTTGACCCTTCCAAATAAAATTTGTCGAAAAATCAAAACTAGGAAGCTTGAACCAGTTTGGTAAAATCAATCTTTTGTCAAGAAATTGTTTTTTTTTTCTATCTTTATTTTACTGAGCTGTCCTAACGGTGTAACTGAACCCGGATTAATGACACATGCTTTACTGCAGTATTGCTGTAGTACCAAAATTCTAAGAGGCTCTGTCTAGTAATTCTCCTGCCTTGATTCTGTTTTTCAGTTGTATGAGCTCCTCAACACTCAGCGACAAATTTAATTTTTTATATTTTTAACTGGTCAGTTTGAAAGCACATCCCCAAACAAAATTCGGGTTTTGATTGGCAGTTTTTTTTATAAATTTTTTGCTTTGCAAACAGTAAGTTTCTTCAAAATAGGAACCAATTAACCTCTAGATGGCCAAGATGTTTCGCTCCTGGACTTTTTGGTATCACATAATTCGGAGATTCAGATGAACCAGAAAGCCTTGTTAGATTACCCATTCTTTCCAGGCGCCTCCTGCGTTCTTCTCCTCGCCTACGAGCCTCTGCTTCATGTTTTGCTCTTCGATCCGCCTAAAATGGGTTAACGAATAACAGCGCTCGAAGTAGTATTTGACTAAATGCTGGCAGTTCTTTCCATTTTGTTGTTCAAGGCGAGTCTGCTGAATTAAAATTGGTCCTGTAATAAAATTTTTAAAAGTTAGGATCACAACCTCTTCCTTTAGTCTGAGCTGTTCTTGCTGACGAAGTCGTTCATTAAATTCTTGTTCTTCTTCTATACGTAGTTTTTTTCGAAGTTCTTGTTTTTCTTTCAGCTCCTTCAGTTCCCTGTCAATTTTTTCACGTTCAACTCGTCGTTGCTCTTCATAATTTTGAAGTTTTGCTGCTTCTTCCTCCTGGTGGCGTTTTTTAGCTGCCTTAACCAACTCTTATTTAGGAGTGTGGTATATAAGGTGAATAAAGTCATATGTGAAGCTTTATTTTTGAACATTTAATAATCGGAAATTTCTATGCAGCGATAACTGTCATATAAAAAATGAAGCGTTTATACTGTTGTTATAAAACAGCTATAACTTTGCTAAGTAACAAAAGAACCGATAAGAAACAATTTGATGCATTTTTGCATTTCTGTTGTTTGCTCTGTTTCTGACTCAAAGTGAATGCAAAAAAAGAGAAATTTGGATTAGAAGTTTTAATCTCTAAACTTCATAACCCCAGAGCCAAATTTTTAAATGCTTATTTATGACAAAGTTGTTCATTTAAAGAAGCTGCTGTGCGAGGTCACTGATAACTGGATTGATTCCCAATCAAAGAGCAATATCAAAAACAAGAAACTTTTTATTCTTTTTCAAAAATATTGAGCTAGGAATGGTAATTTACTTTTTTTCAAAAGCAATTTAAGAGAATTAAAGAAATAAAAACGTTTTGAAGAAGTTATTCCAAATAATGGCATGGTGCTGTCGTTTGATTTGGAAAGTGTATAAATTTATAAAAGAGTTTTGGCTAGGCTGAAATATTCTGTAATATGCCTGATTATGGCCTAACTAAGTACTGCGCAGGAGTTTCAAAATTAAGGAAGTTGCTAATAAAAATTTGCTCTGGACTAGAATGGGCTGTTCAGTTTCGTGCTAGCTATAGTTTATCATATGTATTCTCGGAGCCAGCGGCTTTATCTTCTAAAGGAAACATACAGAAAAGACTACAAAAGTGGTTCCTAAAATTGAAGTTGATATTGAGAGACTGTACAAAACTGAAGCATAGTAAACGACTGTTACAAGAGCTCTATTAATTATAAGCTCGCTTACAAGAGCTTTTAGTTCGTTTGTCGGTTCTTCACAGTTCTTATTGTTTTTTGGAAATCTTTTTTTAAAAATTTTTTCTTGTTATACTTTTTTAGTGAACTTTCCTGTGTTAATCTTACTTTGAAATTGTTTCTTTTCTAGTAAGAATAAGTATGTTGCAATTCTTTTTAGTCGAAATTGGGTACCAATGTTGGTGTAGTCCTCAAAGAAGTTGGAGATTAAAGTGGAGATTAGAGGCCTATTATTAAATGAAAGATTCATTCGATTTTAGAGGCAGGATTGGGATGAATTTATATAGAAGTTGCAGAGACGGTTGAAGCCGTTGATGATGACCAAATTAAAAATCGTAGTTTCATTAATTCAAAGATGGCTGTTTAAAAAGTAGTTAAGAAAGTAATGCAAAGGTGATTCTTGTTGCATTACTCAGCTATTTTAAGGCTAAAGATATAGTGGCAGAACTCGAGGTATAAATGTCGCTTGACAGAAAATATTCTGGAATCAAAACTAAAGTCACAAGCTATTTTGAATAGCTACCGTTGTGAGAGGCTTACATTTTGATGACTGCAATAAAAGAAACTGCTCTCGTATTGAAAAAAATTAATTTTATAAGGTTGTAACAAAAAGAAAAGAATATCTTTTAGTAAAATTACACAAACTTTTGAAATTTTTTTCCAAAAATTTTTTGACAGTAAAACAGGAATATTTTGCTAGGAAACTGTTTCTTGCAAGCAAATTGTCAACTACTCTTTTGGGCAAGAGGAAAAAATGATGAGATAATTTTTTTTCAGCAACTGTGGAAAAATATTTTTCTTTTACATGTTAAATAGTACTTTTTTCTTTTAACGATTAACACTGACAAATCTTAAGTTTGTATTGGCTGACAAATAAGTGAGTATAAAATTTCTGCAGCAGAAAACAACGGTTAAAATTGGCTTCATTTCTAGCAACAGGATTTTTAAAAAGTTTCAGTATAGACTGTTCAGTGGCTGAACAAAATTGAGAGCAACTGTAGGAGATATAATTATAATGGTTTTGAACTTTAAGTAAACTCAGATAGTGAGTTAACTCAGATAGGCATAGAAGGCATAATTAATACAGAATACTGCTATTAAAGGAAAGCCTTGAGCAATGCAGCTATCAATTATTTTATTGAGTAAGAACTTGTACTGTAGCGCTAAATTTAAGACTGCACGCATTCTAAAAAATGATATTGTATGCGACAAAAATGGTGAACGGATAGACAGCTTAGGCTTTGCAGAATACATTTTAATTTTACTAACTACATTCGGCCTATTTTGTGCCGCAACACTTGCTGCTTTAATTACAATGATCAAATAGTAAAAAATTAATAAGCCAAATCGTTTAAGTAAAAAAAGACAGTTATTCTGAATTTGGGATTATTCGGATCTGTTGATATGTACTGCACTCAGATAATCGCTTTATTAAAGTTTTTAACAATGCTTATTTATAAATTGTTGCTTTAAATGTGTTAGGAATTTTTTGGTGTTTAAAAGTCATAGAAATTTAAGAGCTGTTGTTTACTAACCATCATCGCCATCTCTGCTTCACTCATTTTTGACGGTTCTGAGTCTGGTTTCTCCGAAGGTGGACGTCGTGTTCGAAAAAAGGTATTTTATTTGCTTCAAATTTTACAAAACTTTCAAGCGAAGTATCATTTTAAAGTACTTATAAAATTACAAATTACTGTAGTTTAGAGGCTACTTTTGAAACTTTTTCTGATTATAACTTATCTCTACAAGTATTTTGGTTTAGTATAAAACGGCATTTGTAACGTACACCGCCAAATTTCTTCAAAGAATTGTCAGTTTTAGATGATCTATGTTTCCACTGAATTTGGAGCAAAAAATTTTCAGCTAGCCTGCAAACTTTTTTAGAGGCTTGTGAACTATTACTGTGGACTTTCGACGATCTGCTCAACTTCTTCTTCTTCATCTTCTACTTCTTCGGGGCTCTCTTCCAGGGATCTGACAGGAAATCAACAATTAAAGATTAGAAAATTAGTGATACTGAAGTGGATATTACAAAGATTTTTGTTGAATAGATATTTGTTCGAGAAGTATAAAGGAAGATACAGTTTTTTACAATTAAAGCACTGCATAAAAAAGTACTTAACTTGGATGAAAAGTTTTCCAGTCATGTAAATGAATTCTTTCAAATGAATCTGACCTATTTCTATTGCACATCTTAGTTTCTTGATTGTTTTTTTCAAATGTTTTGGATTTCAAATGATTATTGGTATAGCGCAATAAAACCGTATTTGCAACTTAAGCGATAGAAATAGTCAACAAAAATTTAAACTGGTTAATTGTAAGATATACTTACGTAACTTCGTCATCTGCTGACATTTTTTTCTTCACACCTGAAAAGTTTATAGGTACATATAATATATGTGATGAAAATCACAGTCGTTATCACAGAAAATAATAAGCGCTATTGAGATTTGCATAAAAACTCAGAAAAGTGAGGCGTTTACAACATTTCGTTTCAGCCGTCCTAAGGGTGGTGTTAATAAGTAGTCAAACAGAGAACAATTTTCTGATGTAAACCTGTTTCAGAAGCTGAGAGTAAATGAAGGCTGTTTGTTTAAATTTATACAAAATTTTTGACGCCTTGAAAAGAAAGGAATTGAAAAATAAAGAGGGTGGCTACAGCATTAGTGTGGCAGTAGTGAAAGAAGTCGTAAATGGTTTCATATCGTTTTCGCTTAACTAAATGAATTGTCTTGTTAATTTTATTGCTAAATGGTTTGTTGTAAGATGCAGGTCGGTGTTGCTTTTCAATTTGTTACTTTTTTTTATTACGTTTTCTTAATCCTTAAACTTTTTTCATGAATCACAGAAATGAGGCTACAACTGTCAGGTGTAAAAATAGCTTAAATTCACAACTGATTCATTTAAGCTGTTCGTTTTTTTAGAGATAACTGAAATTTGCTGATGTTGTTTAGGCTTTTATCTCAGACTTTTTTGATGGCATTATGACCGTACAAAATTCCTAGCAAAATTTTAGGGTTGTTGATTTGCGGAGTTTTTAGTCCTCACTTAACAAACGTTTGGAGTAATATGGGAAACAACAATTAAACCACTGCTTAGTAGGAAATTACTTGGGTCTTAGCCACTATTCTGTTTTGTTAAAAGGTCTTAGTTCGACAAACAAAAGCTAACAAGTTTATTTGTTTAAATGAAAAGCATATTGATGTCAAACAAGAAAATATGGCTTAAATTGATCAACATTTTGAAAGGTCCGTGAGGTAGAGGAAGTGGAAGTGGCTTATAAGTCCAGAAGCGCTTTTTTAGCTTCCAGAACCATTCTGCAAATAGTTAGTTTCTTTCGGAATTGATCCAGTGTCACGGCTTAAAATAAATCACCGCCACATTTAGCGCTCTTATTTTTGTGATTTGTTATGACTCCAATAGATTTTGACAAAAAAACTCTTTATTGCTTTGCAGTTTAAAAAATTCAGCCTGCCTTCGAGTTGAATGTTACGACATGTTTCTTGGAAGAAGAATTTTAACGTGTCTAAAATGAATTAATGGAGAGAACATTTTCAGAACAGTGTTTATTAACGTGTAGAAAATAGACGAGATTTTCGGAGAATTTCCAAAGCTTGGCAGCAGCAACATTTGTTACTTTTCTGTTAATTACTGGAAGTTACTAGGAGTAACATAGGTTGTAAAAAAGTATAGATTGTAAAAAAGATGTAGGCTAATGGTTATTCCCACCCTAATGAGTTGCGTCTTATGTGACTAGAGACACTAATTAGAGTTTGAAGTCTTGGTTGGGTTGGAAGAGTGCTTACACATCACCTACATAGCAAAAGAATGGAACGTAATAAAGTTGGGTCAAGTTTTTCACAACCAGAAGATTTTTTGAAATAAAATCACTGATAACTTGTTTCACAGTTACTTCAGGTTCTTTCTTCGATTAACTTTTATCTAAGTAAACCCATCAAGACAGGCAATAGGCACCAGTAACTGTAATGTTAATAGTTGGAATTGTCAAGTTTCTGGTACGGCTATTCGTAATTTTTCGTAATACGATCACCACTGGGAAATAACAGACTGTTCACTGTTACGTAGGCTTACGTAATTCAGTGGCACTTTTTCTGCTTTAACATTTAGCTATTGTGCCTAATTTATTTGAATTTTTGTAGGAAATAATACTTCACAGATTCTTATCTTGTTTCAATCCTTTTGCTGCGCAGCTCAGTGCTTCCGTAACACCTAAAATATTCTTGATCTAGGCAAACAAAAGTTGAATCCTCTTTTGAAACAAATCTTTTCATCAGTTCATCATCTTTGTTTATGGTTCGCATTTGCTTCTCTGGACAATTGTTTTTGCTGCTTCTACGGCCTGATAAATTTTGGTCTAAGAATTCTATTTCTCAACAGCTTTTCGTCGTTAATCGAATATAAAGACAATAATTAATTCCTTCTAACAGTCGAAGATGCTTTAATTAGCAGAGCAACATGTGGAGCAAAAAAAGAGAAATTTTTCTGACAGAGGGAAGACTGCAGTTAGGGTTTTTTGGTCTTGATCTCTTACCATAGCCACAAAAGACTTGTTCTCTGAATCTTTTTCGTTTCTTCTATTTACTCCTTGCTCTTGAAAAACTTTGCTGAATTTTCTCTTTTTTCCACCTTTCTATTTCCTTGGTAGCGCGTGTTGATGTTCTCCGTGCTCCCTTGGAAAACGATTTCTGTTTAATCCTTGTCCAATTAACAGCTTTTTTTTTGCACCTTGCTACCAATTTCAACTACTTTTAACACTGAGACGAACATAATTCGTTCAATCGTTATAGATGTTTATTAGCTGTACTACAAAGTTGCTTAGACTATTAGTAAACCAGGCAAGCAGCACTCACTTCCACCAAACTTTACAGGAGGAAAAGAATATATGACTGTCAATGCTTACAATAAGTATTACAATCATTTTCCCATAACTTCCAAACTGACTCGGACGTTTATTACAATAAAGAGAGGAAATAATAGTGTACCAGCCCTTCTTCATTTAAAACACATTACCTGCAGAGCAGATCTAATAAAGGTGTATAACCATAGATTAATGAGTACCAAAATCAAAACCTCTTTTTGACCTAGGTTTATATCAGCAAAAAGTTTATGATGGTTAAAATATTACCAGGACTCGGAAGTGTTACTTATGCAGTTATTATTACTGGTTGTTAAATTATTGTTCACTGAAATATTCTTGTCTGTTAGCTGTTCCAGTCAGACTAAAATCAGAAACAAATTTTTTGCCATTTCCTATTCCCCCTTCAGTGCTGTTATAAAACATACAGAGATAAAGTTAATAAGCTGATGCTGATCTTGACTTTAGTGTAACTTCAGAAGTGATTTTAATTTGAAAATTAAAAGATTTGATTAGTATCTTGTCAGTAGATTTACTATTTGCGAAAAATTGGTTTCTTTTTAAAGATGATGCAGGTTAAGCTTACTGCCATCTTTCACCTTCGTTGATCGTTTAGTAAGAAGTTTCAATGCGTTCAAAGTAGGTGTTCCATAGCTCCTCTAATGGCAATTTCGGGATTTAACGATTAGAATGAACAGGAAAAAAATTTAACTTAACCTTTAGCCCAGTAAAATAACACAAATTAATTGAAACATTCGACTATGTGAGCCATTAAAAAATTAAACAGAATGAACGGTATCATTCAGCACAAATAAAGAAGTTCAACTAGATACTGTTTTGGAATGAAGTGGTCGGTCGTGATTAAGATTTTCTAGTCCTTAACATTACTACCTCTGAATAAATGACTTTCAGTTCTATTTTGACAGACAAAAAAATTTCTAACTTGTTTTGACACTTAAGAATGATTAATGTATACTTTTACGGTCATTGAGTTCTTCCAAAAAAAAGTTGAACATGCAATTATAAATGTACACTTTTTATCTTTCTTCTTCGCAGAATCTTTTTTGCAACATGTGAAAAATATAAAAAAAACGAAAATCAAAAAAAGAAGAACAAGTAAATAAATAAATAATTAGAAAACAAACAAAAACAGAAACAAATGAATCGTTATATTGAATAGAAAAAGATCACTAATATCTTACAAAATAAGAATTCAGTAAGGACACGTTATGCAAAATTGCACTAGAAAATTTTAAAATCTAGATGTTATTACTGAGAGGAATCTATGAGGAAAACTAATATCAATATCCTCATTATCATAGTTACAACAGAGAACATTGCACCGCTTTAGAAAGGTCGTTCAAAATTGACAGGGAAATGTATTACAATAATAGAAGTAAAAATAAAGTACCAACCTTTTTTTGTTAATTACACATCATCTATAGACAGGATCTACTAAAAGTACATAGCCATAATTTAATAATCTCCAAATTGAGTCTTCGTCTTTTACGGATATGCGACGACATATCTTGTTTCTGGCTGCTGAATGTTCCCTGTATTTAAAAAGATTTGTCCACTCCCGTGTTGATTGTTCCGATAAATCACCACTCTGTTAGTGCTTTGGCTTGGCTGCGAGAAGGAAGGATCTGTCACCATGACTGTATTGCCGGTGTTCCTGAAATCTCTGTTATAGGAGCGAATTCATTTTTATACTTTTGAAAACTCGTTTGTCCAATACAGATTTCGCACACATCCCCTTCCAAGCCATAAATTTACAAACACTGATCTTACGCTTGACAGCTTAATATTTCAAGGAGTTTTAGAAGACTAGGATTTGAAGAAAATTACTATGCCGCAATAAATAACTCAAGAATGTGTTTTTAAAAAACAAATCTATTCAGTGATAATAAAATGTAGGAACAAATGGTGCAATTATATACATTTGCCTAATACTTGAATATAGCATTAGAGAAAAAACAGTTTAAGAAATTTTACCCAAAGAGTCCTGGAGAGGTGTTAAAGAAGTGTTTTCGTCGAATCGTGTAGTAACTTCTTGGCCATGTGAATCCAATTTGGCCTGTCGAACTAGACCAACCATTGTTTTCATTTCTGCAAAAACTAATCTAGACAACCTGAAGACCAAATCTAAAACCTTTTCAACGTCTGGAGTTGGAAATGTAAAAGAAATTGAGTATGAGCAAACCATGTGCATCTTGTAAAACAATACAAATTGACTGTTTCTGTCCAGGACAACAGAAGCAATATTGCGTTAAAGTACTAATGAAAAGATTTACAAATATTACTGCCTAATGCTTTTAATTGCTTAGTAAATCTTGAAAAACCAGTAACAAATAGGCTAAACCTAAGAATTTCTACAACTGCTAGAAGTCCACAACACAAATCTGTGGCAAAAATCCGTGAAAAAAATTTTTTTGTCACTTTTCAAAATGCATTAAATCTTTTGAAATATATATAGCAAGAAATTTCAAAAAATTCAAAAAAAAGAAACCTAAAATCAAAAGAAGTTCCGGATCGTTAAGAAATTTTATGAATGTTATATTCCCCTTCAAATAGTTGTTGCTCCTAAAACTCTGTGAATCGTAATGCTGTGGTCTGTTTACTCATCAGTCGTGAAGCATTAAATAAAAGTTATTGTCAAAGTTCAAGTAATAAGGTAGCCTAGGTAACTGTTTATCATTACAAAAATTTCTTGTAGCTGTTACGATAACGTACCCAATTAGAACCTTTTTGTTCAAAAGCACTAAAATATCATATTAAAGAGCTATAGACCAGCAAATTCTTTGATCAGCACCTTATTTAAAAGTACTAAAAAGTTCTACTCATACAAAATGCCTAATTTAGATCGTCAATTTGAATAATCTTGTGTGCTGAATTGCCAAACTTCATTTTTCAGAGTCACAGTGTTGAATGAAACGTCAGAAAATCCCAGTTGTGAAAATAACAGAAATGATATAGAATAAGTCAGCAGAAAAATTTTAATCTTCGATTTGTCTTATGCTGAGTAATAATTAAACACTCCAAATTCACAGTTAGACATCTACAATAATAATTTACTTACATTAAAGTCTCGATTGGAGAAATCGCTTCTGCGTACCATCGTTTTGATATAGGAGGTTGCTTATTCAAAGTCTGAGGATAAACTGGGTTTGTATTAAAAATGTGAATTCTGCTTAGCAAAGGTGAGACAAACCTCCATTTCACTGTTACTGGTTTTGGCAGAACATTAGTCACTTGAGAACCTCTACTCGGAGCTGAAGAAACACTGTTTTTTGTATCTTCATCAAAAATGTGATTGCCTTCATTTGCTTCTATCTTCAAAAGAGATTGGTCGTCTTCGTATTTCGAGATCAGATTTCTCCAGTATTTCTGTACTGGTGCAGGTGTGGAAGTAATCCAGTTATCCAACCACTTTGCTCCAGTGGTTGATGGTCTTGCTGTGCTGGTTGACGGCAGGTAATTATAAGCATATTTTTTGAAACTTTTCTCCTTTGAAACTTTCGGCACTTCTGGAACTGCTTGAAGTACCTCAGGTTTCTTAACAGTTTTAACCTTCGCTTGACCCTCCTGTCTCCAAGCTGTTTCTTCCTTGTTTTCTTTTACTTTGGCAGTTCCACTATATTTTTTCCAGCCCCTTTTTGAAGTATCTCCAACTACTAACTGTAACGGACCGTTCCAAGAAGATTCATCACCTTTCTTAACTCCATCGTCTTAAAAAAAAATTTTTAGTGAATGTCGTGTCGATTGGTAGTAAAAAAACTATTCAAACTCACTTGAGACTATGATGCAAGGTGTTACGTACTCAGGTAACTTCTGGACCAAATCATTTTCGTCTTTTTTGTCAGTACCTTTTCGTTCCCATCGAAACTGCACGAGATCGTCGTAAGGGAAACTTTCTTCTTCAAACAGATCCATCTCTGATTCGTCTACTGCTTTCAAAAAACGCAAAATAAAGGAAAATAGCCAGAAGAAACAGAGAATAGTTGCCATGCAAAGTTTCGTTGTCGGAAACGCTGTTGAAAGTGGTCCTAGACTAAGAGTACGAAAAAACATTGAAACCTGAGGATTTTGTAATTTTAACAGAAGAAGAAGTTTAGTGTGATTGAGTTTTTTTGTAATTGTGATATAGCAAACTGTAAAAAACTAGTGTCAACGTAGAAAAAGTTATTCTTTAACTATATTACTTATCGAAAAGACAATGAAGACGTCAGTCGTTTTTACTGCAACAGTTGCGCAAGGCAGTTCTTCTAGCTGTTGGCCACAAGACGCTTGATAACAAAATGGCTAAAAATCTCAACTTTTAAAAGAAGAGGAAAGAAAAAAATTAAGTTTTAGAAGGCGATCTAACAGCCACTGTATTCGACATGAAAAATATGACAAGGAGAAACTCACAGATGGACTTCGATTAACAGAAAGACCAGAACATATGAAGATTGAAGATAGTATAAATTGTTAATTGAAAGAACAGTTTTCTTTTTATTGCATTTCATTCAATCGTATATCATCATTTCAGGAAATGTCGAAATGTCGAGTCATTGTGCATAAGACAGCCATTTTCAGTCTTCACTTAGTCCGGTTGCAAAATTTGTCTTAACCCCCTTGCTGTGCTTTCCTTTCTGTTAAATATGAAACACGAATTCGATCAAATCATTGGCATATTTTACTAGGAGCTACTAGTTCTGCTCTTCAGTACTAATCGAATAAAAATTTGTTAAAGAGGTGGAACTTCTGGAGCTGTGGTCAGCTATCAATTTTTAGCTAGAAGTGTCAAAACAAAAGATACCTCTGGTGATCCAAGTGAAATATAAAGATAACTGTTTCAATCGACAAAGAATCACCGATGTAAAATTTGTCCATTCCCTATAACAGTTTTAAGCAATTCAAAATTTAAAACTACCTTTCACTTCTTGAAAAAAAAAGTTTGTTAACTGTTTGGGTTCTATAACAAATGTTGCTAAAGCGTTGACCGAAACTTTTTAAAAGTATTTTGCTGTATTCTTCCTATCTTTGCATTCATCTAATGGTATAATCTTGAATTTTTTCCATTAATTTTTGGGTTTCTTATGCAAAATGCACAACTTCGAAGCTCTCTGCTCTGTTCAAAAACCATTTTCAAAATTTCTTAATACCTCGTCTGACCAATAAAAAAGAGTCAAGTTTATATTGTATAGATCGTACTGATGCTCTTGACTGAATTGAATGCTTGGTTTATACAGAATTCCAGAGCTGAGACAGAGCTAAAGCTTTTAAGATATTTCTTAATTAGCAACTATCTGTGTTTTTTGGTCAGTTTCAAGCCGGCAGAGTCACAAATACTTTAAGATTAAAATTTTGTGAAATATGCTCTTTTAGAAACCTAGTTTAACACAAGCAACTTCCGTAACTTTTGATCCACTGACAATGGAGTGATCAAAACAAATGCTTGCCCTTTCAACAGGTGTGATAAGCGAAATATATAAGAAAAAAACGTTGCCACTTTGGTCAGTAACAAAAACGATAAAAGGGGGTAACAGCAAATAATTTGCCTAACTTTTTCAGAACATTTGATAAACTTTTCATTACGTTTTTTGACATAGTCAGTAATTCTCTCCAATTGGTCACTTGTATTAAATTGAAGTTCAAAGTGCCCACCGACTTGAGACAAACTGACTTGTTAAGACATCCCCAGCTATTGACTGTTTAATGCCTGTAATAGCCAGAAATTATCAATAAAAATTTAAGCCTAAATACTGACTGTAGCCATCTAATGCATTTTTAACAAGTCAGTTTCTGTTCTACTCAAAAGACCAGCCTTGCATAATCTTCAACGTTCCAGACGTTGCAGTAAATACTCCCAGAACTTCGACTTAAAACAAGACTGATGACGGCTTTTTTGCTTTTACCGCAATTATAAAATTTATTCAATTAGCTATATCTTATTTGAACTGTCCCAACGCACCTCTTGATACGCTACAAAATCCATTCGCAGTTTTGATAACAGAAACGACAGTGATGTATCAGTACAAGTTTTCAAGTAAATGAGTCGTCTTTCATCAACAAAACTGATGAATAGCTCTTGTTTTTGCATCAAAACAAGTCAAAAAAAATTCCAGTTTTCTACCAATCAAAAAAAAATTATGTATATGCATATATAAAGGAATATGTGTTGGCTTCAACAGCAGTTATTTTCTTGGTCGCAAATGATAAATTTTGACCACCTACTCAAAGCACTTCCGTTAAATCATAAGAGAATTTCTTGCCACCATTGGCATGACAATAATCCAGCGGCGGTTTTTTAACTGAAAGCAACTAAACGGTTGATGATAAAGTGAGATCTTTTCCTAAACAAGACCAGTCCATGCAAGTGGCTTCAAGCATGGCTTCAATTAGGGCCTCTCCGACAAGTGTCTGAAAAATTACACAGCAGTACTTTACAGCGGTATTTGTTGCATTACCGTGACCTCAAGGACCGCTTACATTATTGTGGTTCTGGCTAAAACTTAGATTAATAACTAAATTTCTAGTTAACTCAGTCTCAATTTCTTGTTTACGCAAAAAGGATACGCAGTGTTATAATTCAGTTATTTGAAGATAAACTTAGAAAACAACTGCACTGACTCCTCCTTTTTACTTCGCTTTGCATTATGCATTTAAAATTGAAATAGCTAATTTTGAAATGGAATAGCGTATTTCTGAAACCTTCTGACCTTAAATTCTTTACCTTTGTATGGAAAAAAAAGCCGTTTTAAGTCATTGAACTACCAGATACAACTTTGAACAACATTCTAGTCAAAAACCTTTTTTTACGCTTTGGACAGACCCAAACTTTTAAAGAAGCTATGACAGAAGACAAAAATATTTAAATGTTTTATTTAAAGAACGGGTTATTTACTTGTTAACCTGCCCACCTCTCGCCTTGCCACGTTCACTTTCGTCATGTCTAATCATTTGCCAAATCTAAATTTGCCGAACTCAGAAGCGACGAAACCTCACCGGTGATGTTTTGCCACCTCTAAGTTTGGTAAGCTTTAAGTAGACGTAATGAAACTAACTGTCAGAGCATGATGGGTCAGCGGCCGATCAGTAAACCACACTACTCAGGCACCTGAAACGTGGATAACGAGGTGACATTAGATAAACCGCAACTAAGAAAACTTCATCACTAAATAGCATATCCTCCAAAAGATGTATTTGCCAGTCCCATCAACCACATATACACCGATCGTTTCCAACACATCATGTCTAGAGCTTAATGATACACCTTTTAAGCCATTACACTTTGAATCCAACCTAAAAGTTTAACATCCCAGCACTCACATACATCTGATCTTTCTTTCACAGCCAGATCATTAAACCATAATTCATTAGTCACTTTATAGTTAGAAAAACCTGTTTCCAGAAACATCTTTTAGGGAAATGAACTGTACTGCCACAAAAATCCAAGAATCCGCCTACATATACGCGACGCATACTTCACCATGCAAAAATCCCCTCCTAATCTCAAATTTTAACCCGCTGCCCGGCGTTTGCAATCTGTGTCCTCCATAATTTACTCCCGTCATATCGTCACGGTTAAGTAACATACTTTGAAAATAATCACGCCCTATGAAAGTAAAGTGAAATTTTACAAAAGCAAATTTGCTCTTTTTAGGAAAATGCCATTAAAAGACGGGTACAATGAAATCCGTGTCAGAAAAAATCAACTTGAAAAACAAGGTGTAAGCATAAGAATTGGGTGAAGCACTGTTTTAGTCACGACAATTTATTTACCAAGACGATTTAACCGTATAAAAACCCACTCTGACTAGAAAAGTATAAAGATGAAGCAAGTGTTAACCACTGTAAAAAAATACAGAAGTCATCTGCAAAACGAATCATGAAGTGCAGTGGTCCTCCGAAAACCATGCTTTGACAGTTACCGCTTCAACTGTGATATTTTAAAAATAAAACCATTACATGGAAAAATGCCACAGCTATTCTTTGGCGAAAATAAAGAAATAAATTCTGTCAAAATTAAGTACAAAATTATTCGTTCAGTTTTTTACAGTTGTGCTTAAAACATTTCTTACTCACAGCATTAATAAATTAAAACATCCTCAACTGCCCCACCAAATAACACAGAAGCAATAATTCAGAGGTGTCCTTATTTCGTGACCTGATGGAGAGCATATGCCAGGTACTCCACGTTTGTAGAAGAAATACCTGCCACCGATATACGTCCATCATTTGTAAGATAAATGCTAAAGTCTTTTATCAGTTTGTCAACCTGGAAAATTACAGAACTTGAAGATGAAGAAAAAAACAGTTTACAAAAGCAGTACTCATAACAGGACTTCGTTAAAAAAAACAGTGAACGCTACCTAGGCTTGAAATATCACTGTTTGCTTGATAGATATGACAAGCAGAAAACTTTAAAAACTTTGATGAATCACAAATCTCCCCAACTGCGAGGTAGATCCCTTTCAGAAATCTATCAAAACCTTCCAAAACCCTTTCACTAATTTTCATTACCCTCTTCAACAACTATTCCAATAAATTATTTTGCATAAGAATTTAAAGTAATCAGTGATACTTAAAAAGGCTAAGAAACCCACTTTAATCCTCATTTTAGATAAAAGCTCTACCTGTTCAGAAGAAATACCAGTATAACAGAACATTCCAATTTGATCAACAATATGCTGCCAGTTGCGTTTCGACCCCTCTTTTGCTAAAAGGTCCTTCAGTCGCAGTCGCATATTAATGATTCGATCAGCCATTGACTTAACGTCAACCAACCTATAAACAAATTGTGAGAAGTGTGGAAGGTACAAATATGAAAAAACTTACCACTGTTTTTTAAGGGTATCACTGGTAAGGATACGTGTTGCGATTCTCGCTCCGTGTATAGGAGGGTTAGAGATCATTGGTCGAATAAGGATTTTGAGCTGTGACATGACTCTCGCAGCCTCGCCAGACGACCCGCAAACAATTGAGAAAGCGCCAACTCTCTCGCCTCAAAGACGTCACTAATGGATCAGTTCTAAAACTGTATATGAACCACATTCTCAATCCTTACCATAGAGACCCATATTCTTCGCAAATGACTGAGCTAACGCCATGCAGTGGCCTTTACTTACAAAGTACCTAACCGCTGCTGCGTCCTTATGAATGTCACCAGAAGCAAAACCCTGATAAGCCATGTCAAAGAAAGGGAACAGTTGTCGTTTTCTGACTACCTCTTCAATCATCTTCCACTGGTCAGGCTGTAGAGTAATCCTAGGATTTATATTAGGAATATTGAGAAGCTAAAAATGTTTGGAAGATTCTTGAACTGACCTTTGGATCGACGCCAGTAGGATTATGGGCACAGGCATGAAATAAAACTATAGACTTTTCCGGAATTTTTGACAAGTCGTCCAAAGCCCCTTTTTCATCAAACCCACATGTTTTTTTATCATAATACCGGTACTGCTTTACATCTATGCCTGCAAACCTGAAAGGCCATTAATAGCACTAACGTAACAAGCATTTAAGATTCAGTCCCTTGACTAAAAAAACTGTGCTTTGGATGCTCACTTAAACACCGGGATGTGGTTACCCCAAGTAGGAGCTGGTTGGTACGCTACCAACGGTCCAGAATGCCACTTTTTCTAAATTAGTCCAGTCATAGAAAAAAACCATGTTCACTTAACATTTAAACCACAATAACATGTTGTTCACAGCCGTAACTGTCACAAATTTCACAAATCCCTCAAAACCACGTACTCCTGCAGCTACAAAAAAAATATAACTTTTTCTGCTGGTATGTTCCTGCCCTTTCCTTCTTCTCATTTCAAAAGAAATTATATTTAACATTCCCTAAGGTATTTGTTGACTGCACTAAGTACGAGGTCTTGGGGACTTATTAAAAAACCTTATCATATATGCATAACGAATGGATGAAAAATAAACAAACTTGCGTCATAAGAGAATTTAATAAAGAGAGTGAAAGAGGTACTGTTAACCGAAGTGTAACAACTACTGATCAGTTTCTTGTCACGAGAATCCTTAAAATTTAAGTTACTTCAAGCAGCTAACCAAGAATTCCGTTCCAGTTCGAAGAGCTCCTGTGCCAGAAATGCTCTGCACTGTTGCGTTTCTCTTTTCAAGTAAAACTGGGGAATCTTCTTTAAATGCCAATTTCGCAGCAGCAGCTGCAAACTCAGGAATGCCAGCGATGCCTGCATATTCCTTATCTAAGTTTTCTGCCATCAGTTCCATTTCCGCTTTTCTTACTGACGGCAACACATAAGGCTTCCCCTAAAATCTTTCCTAACAGATCACTAAAGAAAATATGCCACTGTAAAAAAAATACTAATAAAAGCACTGTCTGCCTTCAAACTTCAGAATTCTTACAGTGTCGTCTCTATAAGCACCAACTCCCAGGTTCACTTTCTTAAGGTTTTTGTCCCTTTTAAAAGCTTCCGTGACACCTAAAATAGCGTCAGGAGGACCCATATTTACATTGGCAAACCATGATGATTTCCTTAAAGCATACTGTTAGTTCGTATTCCGAATTAAAATTAAAGAGTAAAATGAAAAGGTAATAAAAGGACTAGTCAATTTAAAGATTTGTTCACAAACATCAGCAATCCTTTTCGTTATTCAAAATAAATGTATTCCAAGATGGAAAGTTTAAAGGAAAGCACAAAGAAATGGGATGGACTTCTAATGTACCGTCATATAATCTCCTGCATTTCCTAAACTAGCTACTTCAAATCTACCTTTCAAATATCATTAAGTAGCCTGACTGAACAACAACCTTAAGGGAGGAAGTCTAGTTGCTGCAAGCGGAACCGTAACGCCTTTAGAGAGCATCTCCTGAAATCTTACAGCAGTTACTTGCTAAACCAATATTAATAAAACAGCCGCAGTTCCAAGGCGAAGCCAACTCTTCTGATCAAAAAGCCTGAACTCAGAGCACTGTCTTACGAATGCAATACGCACACATCGATACATACTCCATGCTTGACTAGAACAATAGCAATCAATTTGAACAAACCGTCCACTGGTTTTCGCTCTAAGAACCTATGTTAGCACGATGTCAAAGTTGAAGTTGCAGCGCCTCGAACTGTTTGTGTCTGGCAAATGTAGAATATGTAGTTGGTTAAACGTTATTAAGCACTCTTCCCTCCACATTTTCTATTTCCACTGGGCACTTAATGTTACTATTCTTTCATCGCACTCTGCCTACAATATATTGAAAGTATACGTAATTTTGATTTGGGTGGTTATTAAGGAGTATATTAGTATCAAAATACGAAGTTACCGATTAAACACC